TAACACGCTTGACCGTAATTGGGTCGTCAGTCCCCATATGTACCTCTCTATATTCTTGCTCTCAGGAGCAATCATATCTGGGCAAAGGATTGCCAGCTCACATAATCTGTTGGTATATGTTGCGATGTCGGTACCAACCATTCCGAGAGTCCAGAGTTCCTGTTCGAGCCTTTGAATCTCTCTCCTTGGGCAGTATTCTCTCATCATCATGGCTTTGAGGTTCTCCCAGCTAATGGAGTTTGCCACAATTAGAGTAAGTACTTTAACGTGGCCGTTCCACCAAGTCAAAGCTCTATCAATGAGTGTGAAGGTTGCAAATTTGACTTTGCTGTGCTCGGGGCAGGAGCAGATTTCAAAGACTGCTTATGTCCTTTCAATCCATTGTCTTAGAGCCATCACACCACCAGTTCCATAAAACATATGGGGTTTGGCATTAGTAAAGTCCTTATAAGTGCATTCTCGGGGTTGCCCATGACTCTCGCCATGGTTGGAAAGGTGTGTGCCAGTTCTCGAGTCATGGGTACTCGAGTTATTTATTTGTGACATAGCAGCTGCTACCGCTGCGGTGACTGCTGCTTGGAACATGACAACATCAAATTGAGGAGGTGAAGGTGAAGGTGGTGGTATCGGTGTTTCATTGATAGGGTTACGCCTTGTATTCCTGCGTGGCGGCATCTTTAACTATACGTTTAAAAGATGATGATATGGGTAAGAATAAGTGACAAATGAATGTGTCTCATGAACCAAATCGCCATGGTTCAACAACAGATGATAGCATAAAAATGAAAGTTATTTGTAAGACTGAAAGTATGAAACAAGTATTTGGTTTCTCGATGACTTTTCAAGGTTTGAACGAAATACTCAACGTAGTTATAATAGTGTCACTTATATTTATATAAAAGTTGATACAACGATCATAAAAATTTGACCCTTATATGGGTCTCCGATTACAAAGTTCGAGAAATTTAAAGACTTTTAACCGAGGTCCTAAGTTATAACAAAATTTGAGGATTTTCACAAGTACTACTTGCGACGGGTGTTGCGCTTGGAGCTCGATTCTGCGTCTGATTGCTTCGAATCCATAAGACGCCTATCAAGGACGGCTTGTTGTTCCCTCAATTCCGCGAAGGCTGCATTCGCTTGTGCTTGGAATGCCTCGGCGCGGATGTGGATGTCGTTCTGCAACATCTCTAGGCGGTTGATATCGGCCGTGTGGATTTGTACTTCCACGTTTACCTCTCGGATTCGGTTTGCTTGAACCCCGATTGGTAGGACTGATTGGCGAGTTTTCCCACCACGGGAGTGCCCGATCGGCTGAACCTCCACCTCGGACATCGTAGAAATCTCGGCACATGCCATAGGGAGAGCGTATACTTTGTTGTTGGCTCCAGTGGACGAGGTGACTTCCCCAGACGGGAGTCGGTCCTTGAAAGTTCCTCCTAATGGGTGGAGGGTTGACTATTTCCGTTTCTGAGTCTGTCCCGGAGTCGTCCCCGCCGTCCAACTCAATGGGCTCCTCGTCCTCCTCCGGATCCTCTTCAATCCATCCTTCGTTGCCTTGTTGTGGGTATTAGGGGTCTCCATGCGGGTGAAATCCAGCCATTTGACTATACGAGAATAGGGTTAAGATTTGAATAAAACTTGAGACATGTAGTACTAATTAATTTAGCGTATGAACCAAATACTCCTATAGTATTTAAATTCTTGTGTTTGATCTTTGTGATGTTTTTGGTAAGTTTTGACTCGTTGCTCACTACGAGCGTTCCTCGATATACATTGGTCCGATCTCGGACTAATATAGTTGATCACGCTATATTTGTCCCAAATCTGATTACATATATCGAGTTTTAATCGTAGTGTCCAACTTGTCTAAATACTTGTTGTATATTTAATAAACATTAAACTAATTTGTTGTATGCATGTATTTGTACTTGAATCAACTAACATTTTTAAGTTATACAAAACGTGGCTCAGGCGTAAATAAAATTGTTTTGTCAGAGAGTATTAGTCCCTTAAGCATTTATAGTTTGTATATTTTATGTGGTTCGATATACTTAGTTCACTATAAACATTGCTCTGATACCAATCTGTCACACCCCCAAACCTGAACGGCGGAAACGTTCGGGGGCGAATGACTTCATGTGGTAGCGTAACAAGTGAATACATAGTAAAGAAAGAAATACAACCATCATATATATATATATATATATATATATATATATATATATATATATATATATATATATATATATATATTTGAAAGTTTTACATTCGTCAAACGTTACATGTTCAAAATCAATTACAAATATGATGTCAAAATATGAGATTAAACTGGCGCCGCAGCATCTCTTCATCAAAAGCAATATGATACCAGTAGTTACTGAATCTCTGGGACATACAAGTAATTTTAAAAGAGTAGATCAACATTTAAGCTGGTGAGTTTCATAAGTATTTAATGACAATGTTTGTATGAAACGAAATATCTTGTCCTTGTTTATTTGTGTTTAGAAAATCCTGTATTTTCTACTAGTATAAAAGTAGTCTTCCTTGCAGACTAAAGTTTGTTTCCAAAATCTTTGTAAGTGTAAAAGTAACCAATACGTTTGAAAACCTCATAAATCAATGTATTTTTATTACCTCCTGTGAGCTTTATAACCATACTATTGACTCGGATTGCCTATACACAATGATGGAATGTTATGACGTTTGTCACCCCAAACGATGGACTGTAGCTAACAGTTAGGGCGCGGGTTGTCAAGCCTGTATAGATCTATACACAACCACCATTCTCCCCCTCCAAGGGATTCTGGTATATAATACAGGACTTGAAATGTGTACTTGAACGTACGTGAAGTAAATGTCTCACAGAAACGTAGTATAAAAATAGATTTACATGTTGAAATGTTCGTTTGTTATTGTACATGAAAATGATTTCTCGAAAATCGTGTTTCTAGTATGTAAAAGTTAGCAATATCTTCATAAAACTATACCTTTTATAGTTTTCTAAAAGTTTGTCTCGTTTGTTTTTAAAATATCTAGAAAAGAATCACTTGTTATGAAAGCATAGATTTTTGTAACGTCTAAGATAGACACAACTTACTTTAAATCTAAGAACATGTTTAGTTTATACATGCATTACAACCATTTATAGTTTTTAAAGATAGAATGATATTGTAATATAGTTTTGTATACGGGAGTTTCCTATAAAGTTTGTAAATCACACATGATTCCACTTAATAAAAGGGTATAATAATCTTTATATACAACACCCGATAGTAGTCGTGTGTTTTACTTGTATTCCCCCCCCCCCCCCCTAGAAAGCATATCAAAGCATTTAGAATATTAAAAGGGTTAATTAGGGGGTATGAACTCACATGAAAGTTTGAAGATAGCGAGATGGAAAACCGGGCAGATTTTCGTCTCGGGAAACGGATTTTCCTCGAGATTCTCAGGAATCTCGGGAGTAAAATCGACCTTTGGGACTTGCACAAAATGACCAAGGCTTCGGGGTAGTACGGGCACGGAAAACGAGGTAAAACGCAAGAAAAGTGAGAGAGAATGAGCAAATTTTCCGGGAACCCTCGCATCTTATTTATAGGAGGCTGGAACCGCCTCCATACGCAGGGCGTACGCGTACGTCACGCATGACCGAGTCCTTGACTACCTCGCACTTCGGATGGGACGGGGGTAGGATCGCATAGGGGCGACGTGGACGATCCGAGGCCGTGGCCTCGACTACGCTGGGCGTACTCGTGTACGCGGGGCGTACGTGCGTGACTCAGAAATTCATATCTCCTTCATACGAACTCCGTTTTTGACGTTCTTTATATCCTCGCGAAGGTGAGACTACGATCTACAACTTTCGTTTAGATTCCGTCGGCAAATTCCGAATTTATTTTTATTATTTATTTATTAAAATGACATGATTAAGGAATTTCTTTAAAAACTCATAACTTCTTTATCTGACGTTGGTTTTTGCCAGACTTTTTACCGCTGAAGAACCATCGTCGAGACCTTCGATTCTCGTTTAGGTCATTCCGGCCAAAAGTCGCTCGATTTCTGCTTCGAGTTTTCAGTTGACTGTTTCTAAGCCAAATTTGGAAAAATCTTAACTTCAATATACGAAGTTGGGTTTGGGCATTCTTTTTATGTACGATCCCGGTTTAATGATATAAAACATAGTAGGTGGTTAAATAGAAACTTTTTGGACATTTTATTATCAACGTTTATTTTGATTACTCAAAAATGGTTACAATACTTGACCTAACAGGCCATTACGAAGAGTTGAAATATCGGGTTGTCACATGTGTTCTTAGGGAAATGAGTAGCAGTGGAAGTAGAGTGTTGAAGGAAGTCGTCACCTGGTTGGTGGAAGCTTTAATTGTTCTCTTATCGTTCATGATTTAGGAACTATGCTTGAATATCAAACAATGTAACTGCTTTATTAATAATCAATAAAAGAACTATGCTTGAAATAGTCCATGTGGTTTGGCTAAAGTTGTGCATTTGGTCCCTATGTTTTGTTTTACACTCAGAACATCCCCACATTTTCTTTTTATTACCTGCCTGGTCCCTGGGTCTGTTAGTCATCAATTCCAAACGTTAAGTCCCCCAACGTGGTTTGCACATGAGGGGTATTTTCGTCATTTGATTCATGGTGCCTAAATGAAATGCTAATCGTTTCTTCATTCTGACCATTTTACGATCAACTCCCTCTCTGTCACACACACACTCTCTCTCACTTAATATGTAACTCATCAAAATCAAGTAGAAACCCTAACTCCTCAAAATTTTGCAAGAATCATCGAAGTAACAATGGTGGGTTGGAGGATTAGAGCAAACATACAAGAAATAGACGTTGAAAAACTTTACGGTGACCCCTTATTTTCAAAAGTTAAATTTATCACTTACAAATTTCAAGCTAATAAGTTGAAGCTTTCTCTTTTACAGCTAGTCATCCAACTATCTTCTCCATCATATTATTCTATGGTGGAGAGTTTATGAAGTTTCCTGGAAGGAGGTACGTCAAGGACAAAGAAAGATATGTTGATCTATTGGGCATTGATGAGTTTTGTGTACATGATATTGATGAGACGATGGAGACCCTAGGCTGTGTTGAGGAGGGTAAGTTGCTGTATTACCACTTCAAAAGACCCTTTTCAGATTTGGACTTTGGGTTGTGTGCATTGGCTAGTGAGAGTGACATTAACCATTTGGGTACCTACGTGGGTAAACATAAAGTGATTGAAGTTTATGTTGAACATGGTAAAACAGTGTTGCATACATATACAATGTCATCTACCCCTAGTAAAGTTATGATAGAAGAAATCGGTGATCAACCTTCATGTAGTAGAAGGCTATTTTTGGAATGGAAGGAAACTGAAACAGGGGATTGTATTGGATCAAGTAAACCAGATGTTGTGCCAACAAAAGAAACTAAAAGTAACCAAATTGATGCCCAATGTGAAACACAAGGTATATTTGATGAATTTGATGAAATTCTAAATGAAGAACCTAGAGGGATTACTCATGAAAGTGACAATAGAGATGATGTTGATGATAGTGGTGATAATGGTGATAGTGATGATAGTGAGTTCTTAGTAGACTTAGATAACCTCCTAGATGAACCTGAGATAGAATTGAATGAGTTTTTGTTAAATATTGATGAAGATATAGAGTGGGTGGGTGATTTTGGAGGGTCAAATGTCAAGGAAACAGAAACAAGGGAAATTGATGATATTGAGGTTGTAAACAATGAGGTATTCTTATATGAGTCATCATCTGATGAAGGTGGGAGCAATAGGAGAAGAAAATCAATTAAGGCAATCCGAAGGGCAATGGAAAACAATGAAGCAAGATTTAGTGATCCATTTTATGTGTACCAAAAATTCACCTCATCTAAAGAATTGAAAGATGCAATAAGACAACATGATGTGCAGATAAGGAGGGAAGTAGACTTCATAAAAATGATAAAACAAAGTGAGAGTAATTTGTAAAGGTACTATCCCAGACCTTGGTCAACTTGATCCATGTGGGCCTAGTTAAAGCTATAAAGAAACTGAATAAAACAAGTGTCCATGGGTACTTTATGCTAGCAAGTGGGAACAATATGTTGACTGGGAGATCAAGACCTACGAAAAAGAGCATAGATGTCTACAAACAAGAAATGGGAAAACTTGTACGTACAAGTTTTTGGCAAAGAAAATAGTGCAGCGGATTGAAAGCAACCCTACAGTGCCTACATGAGCTTTACAAGAACAACTTCAACGTGAATACCAGGTAGATATTTCGAAGATGAAGGTATTTAGGGCTAAAACAGAAGCATTGAATCAAGTAAAGGGCGATTATTCAGGGCAATATACTACACTACGAGACTATGTTCAAGAACTTTGCACTCGAAACCCAAGGACAACAGTTAAGATAGAGGTCGAAAGTAAGCCAAACCCAGCTTCTGAGACTAGAACTTTCAAACGGATCTACATCTGTCTAGGGCCATTAAAGAAAGGTACAAGGAAAATTATTCTCAAAGTACATTATTTTTATAAGATAATTATATGTTCAGTATGCTTTAAACACGAAAACAGTTTTACCAAACGATTTAGAAATCAACTCGTAGATACAGTTTTCAAAACTAAAGCAATGAACTTGGGAATCATGTAGTAAAATGTGTTATTTTATAAAGGATTCATGCAAACCATATACAAAATTTTCAGTATTATTACTTGTAAATTGTTAGTATAAGTTTGAGACGCATCCTTGGAAACACTCCCACCGAATTCGAGAGTGTAGGACTAGCACTTGTAACTAAAATCTCTTGTAGGGAGAGCGCGACTGCTGTGTATAGATCTATACGAGACTGACTATCCCGCACCTTCCTGCTAGCTACAGTTGGACCGATAGGTCCAGGGGAGACAAAGTCATAAAAAGATACTGGCCCCGTTACGTGCCATATCAAGTCTAAGTACGGTTATGACACTCACAACTTAGATAGCAGTAATTTACTTTTGTAATAATGAAACTAGCGAACTAACCTCAAAGTAATAAACGATTTGATTACTAGAGCGTATAATAATACCTTGAGGATTTAGTTCGCTACGTATTTATTAGTTTTATTTATGTAATAAGGCTAATATACCTCACAGGGAGCAAACAAGATTTTTCAAGAAATCTACATCTAACGATATACGTATGGTAGATACTTTTACACCACAAACTAGAACATATAACCAACCATCAAATTTTAAGGAAAATATAGGATTTTCCTAGGATAACTCAATCTTGCATAAGCGAATTGTTTAACAAATAACTAGCGGATATTCAAATACCTTTCATAAGAAAATATAGGATTTTCTTAAGGAACACTTTTCAAAAGGATCAAAGAAACATTTTCCACCAAAATTAAATGCTTATGAACTCACCATCTTTATGCTGATATTCTTTCAAACTGCTTGTATTCTCAGGGCAACAATAGACACGTACCCACGTGAACTTTTGGTGAAGACGAAGCATTTTGGAAATCTCATCTTTTACTTTTTTTTCATTTCGATGTATACAAACTATGTTTTCAAACAGATGTAAATATTCATATTACAATGTAATGTTTGTGTTTACTTTGATTACTATGCCACAATTGTTGTGATACTACACATGACGTCATCCACCCTCGAATGTTTGTGCCGTTTGTTCTCACGGTTCAGGGGTGTGACATACGGCATCAAGGAAGGACAAGAGTGTGAAATGTTCAAAATGCAAAAAGCTTGGTCATAATAAAAGAAGCTGCAAAGGTCAAAGTGCATGTGATGCTAGCTCAAGCAAGAAAGGGAAGGCTGGGAATAAAGCTAAAAGTTTAGGTATCAGATTGGTATCAGAGCTATTGTTTATAGTGAACTGAGTATACCGAACCTTACATGGTATATAACTATAAACATTAAGGGGCCAAAGTGCTCTGAAGTAAAAGTATACTTTAAAATATAAGTATTTTACAAGATGTATACAAGTATACATATACACTAGAAACAATAATCACGAGCAGAGCAAAACAAAAGTAATTGGATGTCCGTCACTGCGATTAAACCTGGGCAGTTATGTAATCATGTCTAGGGTCAATATAGCCTGGTCAACTATATTCATTCGAGACATGACCAACATGTGCTTGGGAGTGACTGTGGTGTTGCAATAGACCTAAAACTTACCAAGTGTCCATACAATAAGGTATCGGTACAGCAAAACACAAAATACTGTAGGAGTATTGTACTAAAGTCAAATTATTTGCAGAGATTCATTTCCAAGTGTTGTTACTCATTCCTATTGCGATAAATTACTTGAATTAGTAGCTTTTCCTTGTTTATCACTTAGTAGAATACTCTAGCCATCATATTGAGATATTTCTTGGCTCATATCTGTTGATTCAATTCAGAGGACTTACCATCCTCTTCTCCTGATCATTTTTAGAACAAGATGCCTCCAAGGAAAAGACCCAGTGCAAACAACAACAATCCCCTTCCACCACCTCCTCAGTTCGATCCCGCCATGTTCCAGGTAGCTGTTACTGCCGCTGTGACTGCCGCGATGTCACAAATTAATCCTGGCGGTTCTGGTGGGTCGGGAGTCGGTACTCATCCCCAAAACCATGAAGGTAGTCAGGGACAACAAAAGGAATGTTCATATAAAGACTTCATGAATGCAAAACCTACATCTTTCGACGGTAATGGAGGTGTTATTGCCCTGACTCAATGGTTTGAGAAGATCGAGTCCATCTTTGAAACTTGTTCCTGTTCTGAAGTCAACAAGGTGAAATTCATCACCTGCACTTTCAGCGATAGAGCATTGACCTGGTGGAATGTCGGGTCAAATCCCTAACCCTGCCAGTAGCAAATGCAATGGGTTGGGAGAGCTTGAAGGAGCTCATTCTTGTTGAGTACTGCCCAAGGGGAGAATTGTAGAAACTAGAGCACGAACTCTGGAACTTGAAGATGAAGGGTTCCAACATTGCCTCCCACACAACTAGATTTTTGCGATCTGGCTCTCCTCTATCCGGGAATGGTCACACCGGAAAGCAATAAAATTGAGAGGTTCATATGGGGATTGACGCCCCCAACGCAAGGGATCGTCTTGGCTGCTAAGCCAACCACTTTTGACAGCGTTAAGTGCCTGGCGCAGACTCTCATAGATCACGAAGTTGATCTCGATGCAACAATATCGACTCCCAAACCAGAAAAGGTGAATGGTGAAAAAAGAATGTTATAGAAGCAACGAAAGGGTCATACTTCGCAGGAGCCCTCAAAGAAACAACAAACAGTAGCAGTCCACGCTGCTACTACTCCTGCCGCTGCCCTGCCACTCAAGCACCTACCAGTAGATATGCTGGTACCCTTCCTCGGTGAGACAAGTGTAATTAGCATCATAATCCCGGCCCATGCCGTGAATTGCTCTACAACAACTGTGGCAAGAAGGGTCACACAACTCGAGCCTGCAAGCCACAAATCCAACCAACCAATCAGGCGCCTGTGGCGGGTGTTGGTCATGCCTGCTATGGTTGTGGAGAATTCGAGTACTACAAGAGGAATTTCCCCAAGGCAACAACCGCTGGCAACACTAGGAGAGTGCTAACAATGGGTCGGGAGGAAGCAGTTACAGATCCCACAGTTCTTATGGGTACGTTCCTCCTTGACAACTCTTATGCATGTATCCTTTTCGATTCTGGTGCGGAGAGAAGTTTTGTTAGTCATGCATTCAAGCATCTTCTCAAACATAAACCCCAATCTTTAATCGAAACATTTACCGTTGAGATGACTAACGGTGAAAAAGAGAGCACTAACTACATATTCATCGGTTGTACCCTTACCTTAAACGACCATTCCTTTCCTCTCGACCTTATGCCTGTTTCCATAAAAAGCTTCGATTTCATCATCGGCATGGATTGGTTAAGCCCCAATCGTGCTGATATCCTTTTCTATGAAAAAGAAATCTGTCTCAATCTTCCCTTTGGCGAAACCCTCAAGATCTATGATGACAAACTCAGCTCCAAACTTCGTATCATTTCGTGCATCAAAGCCCAAAAATTTCTGTAAAAGGAGTGACGTGCATTCCTCGCCCATGTAATTAATGAGAAACAGGAAGTTAAAGACCTTGAGAGCATCCCCAAAGTCTGCAATTTTTCTGATGTCTTTCTAGAAGAGCTTCTGGGAATTCCTCCAGAGCGCCAAGTCGAGTTTCGAATCGACTTAATCCCTAATGCTACATCCGTAGCTAAGCCCCCATATCGCTTAGCGCTAATAGAAATGCAGGAGTTATCCAGTCAGCTCAATGAGCTGCTCAGCAAAGGATTCATCAGCCCCCATATCGCTTAGCGCTAATTTATTTTGTGAAAAAGAAGGATGAATCTTCACGGATGTGCATCGACTACCGTGAACTGAACAAGCTCACCGTCAAAAACCATTACCCTCTTCCTCGGATCGATGATCTCTTTGACCAAATTCAAGGAATCAGCTACTTCTCCAAAATAGACCTAAGATTAGGGTACCATCATCTGCGAGTCCACAAGAGTGACGCTCCTAAAACAGCATTCCGGACTTGAAATGGTCAACGAGTTCGTAGTGATGCCCGGTATAACCAATGCACTGGCGATGTTCATGAACCTGATGAACCGGGTGTGTCATTCTTTTATGGACAAGTTCGTTATCGTGCTCATTGATGATATACTTGTCTATTCCAGAAGTGAGGAAGACCATAGACAACACTTGGGATTGGTGCTGGAAACTGAAACATCCCAAAATACGACCCAAAATTTTTTGTTTAACGATTACTAAAAGTACTAAAATAATATCACAAAGTAAAACTCATACGTCAATATTTCAAAACACTAACTAGTAGTTATGTAGAAGTGTATCAAAGCAGTATCAATCACATTTATGAAAAACTAGAAACATTTCGCAGGACAACTGAAACTGTGGTGTATGCGATGCCATTAACCCGAGCTCTTCCCTTTGCTTGCGGA